TTCATGCATCAAGTTGTCTTGTTGTATCCAAATATGTATTGATTTCCTCTCCGTCACATATGCTCTAAACTCACCGGTCATGTTTCTATCCCGAGCCTGAAATGTATACTCAAGCCTATGCAAACTCAATGTTCCTCGTGAAAGGGCCGTTTGCTCGTGTCATATACTTGATTTGGCCGACCCCTGCCGACCCCGGTGCCGGCGATATGTATGATCGATGATGCGCCATCAAATTCAAAGCACGTCACCTTATCCTTGAATCCGAACCATCACCGCGCGCCAGTCGAGGAGATACTTAGCTTCAGCACAAGCTGTTCATCTTAACCTATCTGACCTCAAAGCAAGTTTTAACTAGTCGAAGGTGAATATCTTATTCCATACCCTCAGCTGGCACTGATGATCAATAAGAAAGTTTGGATTGGGTAGAGAGCTTCGACACGAGCGACAAGAAAAATCGAAATCGAAATCCGAAACCGAAAATCGAAACCGAGATCGAAAGTGAGGTCAAAAATCGAAAATGAGGAGTTTTTTCTCTGACTTTCGATTTCCGTCGGCGCTTTTGATTTCATTGATGTAGTTCTCCGTCCGCTTCGCTTGGTCTGCCGTATTTGAATAGCATTCTAAATCATATTTGGCGAATAGACCATTCCCTCGTATAAAATCGATGTAGCTGGGACCGTTGGACAGTCCTTTTCTTCCCTACGTGCCCGTGCGTGTGGGCAGACCCCGTCAACTTATCTACTCCACTACTGTTTCCTTATTCATTCCACTACTAGTATAGCCTAAAGCCTAGCTTGTATCGTAGTCAGAACAATCCCTCTTTCCATTTTACCCACCTAGCTCAAGTCAGTATCAACACTGCACTAAGAACCTAATCCCAATTTGAAAGTAGGACTCTACAGCACATCGCGTGCGGCATATATCGCCAATTTACTGATGACTTTACTGGTGACATTATTGAAGGAGTGTCGGCTTATAATGCCATTGAAAGGACCTTTTAGGCCACTTAAGCGTGAATGCCTACCAAGAAAGGGTTTTTCAAGGCCCTTGTAAGGCGTCAAACTTGCTTATCTGTAGAGAAACATTACATTGAAAAGCCTTGTATGGCTTTTCTGGAAATTTGCGACAGTACATTTTGGAGTGCTCAGCGCTCAGTTAAAGCTGAGGGAGATATATACTGTGCCAAACACTTGTAGGTCCATAGTAGTAGGCATATAAAGAAGAAAATGGGGTATACAAGGTCGAGGGAAGAGAGTTATTGAACTTGGTTGGGCTAGATTGAGAGTTCAATACATATTACCCGACTACAGAGACACGACGCAAGACGGAGTTGCGCCTCCCGGGTCATGACACATGATGACGGCCCGCAGACGGAGGTCGGGAAGGAAATCGAAAGCAGAGAGAGGAAATCGAAAGTATCGAAATTGATCCATTACTTTCGATTTTGAGCCCCGACTTTCGATTTTCGATTTCGATTTCGGTTTTTTTGGGGTCTGTCGCTGGTGTCGAACTACTGATTGGGTAACACATTGGACGGTCCACCTCATTATCCATTACATCTCCAGCGTCCTTTCCTATTCAGTGCATCTTCTAAACATGCCCCAAAACCCGCCACATCTTGAGGATCTACCTGTGGAACTCCTTACTGAAATCCTTGTATCACTGCCCAGCGATGGTACCCGCCTCGCTCTTGCCTCCACAAACTCCCATCTCCGCAACGTGTTGGCTCCTCACATCTTTAGTGCTATTAAGATAAAGAATAGCACTCGAGAGCGACACGAATTCAAGCAGCTGGCAAACAAGTACGGTTCGGCCATCACGCATCTGCATTTCGTGGCATCCATGCCGCATGGCAGACCTGAGGACGACATCTTTACCACCCCCACCGACCATCGCACTGATGAACAGGACACTCCCAGCCCCACAAAGAACCCCAACAATGGTGTTGATGACTCGGATCAAAGCTTCATAACCGACTTAGCACGCGATGTGCTCGTAGGGAAGCTGCTACCCAACGCTACTACCCTCAGTCTCTCGTTCGACTTCGACTTTGAATACGATGGTGCAGAGCTGGACCTGGATGATGGCATATGGGATGGCCCCAACTCGATAACCGACGACTCCACCTCTATATACGTGTTCGCGGATGAAGAGGCAGCTGAGGATGTGCCAATCAGAGAAGCCGAATATCCGTGGCGCGCGCTGATGGCGCAGACATGGTCGGCTCTCTGCCAAAACAAATCCATCACGAAACTTATCATCCTCAATCTGATCCCAAAGAAGACCACAACTTTCGATTCAGAAGACTGGCGAGATTTTCTCGGACGGCTGGAGGTACTGGAGTTGAGGATGTGGGGAGGAGATAATGGCGTTGGGTGGCGTGTTAATACTCTAGAGGGGTACTTGGTGTACGAGGCCAGATTGGGCGAGTACTTCTTCCGGCACTTGAACAAGGTACAGCGCCTGCTGCTTGCCGCCTATCCTGAGTGTCCGTTCGGAGGACCTGAGGTGGACGATGGCCCGAACTTCAATTACGATATCGCGTTCCCGCTCTCCAAAGAATACCTCCCTCGCCTTAAAACCCTCGAGCTCCACAATATCTTCATCAGCAAGAGGCTGGTTAGCTTCGTTCTTAACAAAGGGACAACATTACACGGAGTGTATTTGCATCACTGTCATGCGAACAGAGACCACGAGGAGGGATTCTCATGGGCTGACTTCTTCACCTGCCTCGACTCCAACAAATCTCAGCTCAGGGAGCTGCACATTACATACGAAGGGGGCGATCTAGCTTTGCTCTCTGACTACGAGGGGAATCAGCTGCAGAAACAGAATGAGGAGGACAGGGTATTCTCATATGGGAACTTGATATCTAAGTATGGGGATTTTGTGGCGGGCAACCGCAAAATTCGAGAGAAGTATGAGGAAAGGAAGGATTTGGATGCATATCGTAGTTTGATGGATACTTTGGAGCGAAGGAAGGAAGGAGACAAAAAGCCGCTACAGGAGCGCGTCTAAGTTCAGATGATTAGAAGGCCCTGTTTTACAAGTCGGAACGGGATCTGCGTAATTCCAACACCAACACCCGTCTGGGAGATTCATATCGACCGAAAATCTCCTGGCTGCCCGGGTCATCTTGGGATTGACAGATACTACATTGGTTGGGCCAAGGTTGGGCGGATCGAATCGAGCTTCTAAATATCTGTGAGAGGATTGGGTTCTTCCATTACTTATCTTTCTATCTCCGTTCCACGTAACGGTATGTTCAAACTCTTTTTCTCCCGTGGTAAGTGGCATATATTGTATTTTTATGTTGACTCTCCGCTTTCTGCTATACATTCATCAATTTTGACTTCCTGTTTGTTGGAATCCTCGCAAGCGACTGGTCCCTCCCGGTACTGGGCTTTGTATCGGTGCACTACAAGCATGTTCTGTGCGTCTTTCCGCTTGATATCTACTTTCGCAGGAAACACTGTGCATCACGCAGCGGAGGACGAATGGAAGCTTCAGTTGATGGATGTCTCAACGCATTGAAGCGCGACGCGACGCGGTAGTTACGTAAGGACGAGCATATAAGCACGTAGTGAAGCCTGTCAAAGCTTGATATCGCACCCCCATCTTGACCCGCTACCTCCTACGGTCTCGTTCTCTCATTCATCATGGTCTACTGCGAGCGATGCGACCGCTACTTCTCTCACTGGGAAGCACTATACCAGCACAAACGAGACTCCTATGCTCATTGGGTCTGTGAGCAGTGCGATAGGGACTTCAACAGCCAGCATGCTCGTAAAGAGCATTGGGTGCAGAGCTCTCTTCACTCTTACTGTCAGTATTGCGAGGAGCATTTTGACGACGATGAAGAACTGGAGCTTCACTACGACCTCTATCATTATCGCTGTCGTCCATGTAATTGGGTCTTCAAGAACGAATATGGCTTGCAAGAGCATTACAGGCAGTCCAGCGCCCATCATTACTGTTTTGAATGCAAGCGAGATTTCAGTTCGGAGAACAGCCTGAGATCGGTGAGTCTCGCTTTGACCTCCACTTGTTCAAGTAATTCTTACCGAGGTCTCTTGATCTCGTCCGCAATAGCATCTCCAGTCGTCCGTACACCAACCTCGCAACGTCTCATGTCCATTTCGTCTTCAAGGCTGCAATCAGCTCTTTGTATCTCGCTCGGCTCTCGTTCAACATCTCGAGATGGGCCGTTGCCCCTCTGGCGTTGACAGAAACACCGTCAATCGCATTGTGCGCCAGCTCGATAGGCAGAACATCATCACGGATCCTTCTCGCCTCATCGCGGGTTCCGATAACAGCAGTAACATCCCACCTCCCCAGTATCTTGCAACTCAAAAGAGCTGGAACGGCTCGGCCTACGAGTGCTACTTCTGTCACGCAACTTTTCGCCTATTGAGTGCTTTGAACCAGCACTTGAATAGTCCTCGTCATCAGGAGAAGGTGTACTTTTGCCCTCTGAGCTCGTGCCGCGTGAGGTTCAACACGCTTAGTGCACTTTGCCAGCACATCGAGAGCGAAAGGTGTGGGGTTTCTAAGTTTAAGGCTGTCCAGAACGCTCTGGACGGCTTGGTCGGCGGAATGAAGATGTTGACAATGTGATCGGCTTCGATATACCCTGGTACGTTTCGTTGAATTCGGAACCATTGTCAAAGCATGTGAAGACTTTAATTTCAGATGACATTCTCAGGGTACCAAGCAGGGATTCTCGTTGTTTTTCCGAATGCGAATAGAACTCGTGACGGTAGATAATAGATGAATACTGTCACTGTACAATATGATTGCTTCTGAATTGCCGATGTTAGCGTTGTGCCCACACGTACTTACATCGCGGACTGGATTAGATACCGTTCGTGCTTGTACCAAGTGCCAGGCTTAGTGCTCAGATATTCATTGTCAGAAGAGCTATAACAGTCGAGGAAGCATTCAGCTGTACCTCACGATTGCAATGACAACACCTTGGAACGACTGGGGCAGAACAAAAATGATGAGAGTGGGATTCGAACCCACGCCCCGGAGGACCAGATGTATTGCACATCGCATGTGCTGATCCTTAGTCTGGCGCCTTAGACCGCTCGGCCATCTCACCATGTCTCAGGCTGGTTAATCAAGAATCAAGAGCCCGTTTAAGGCTGTACTGTTACATGACGTCGGTGGTTGATTTTTCATTTTATTTCCCGCGCCCAGTCGACTTTCAACTTGCTATCACGTTCAACTACCACATGCCAGTAGCAAACACACTATCAGCCTTGTCCCTTTCATGTAAATGCGACTTCATCCTCGTTCTTTTCTCCACCCCTTCTCGGTCTAGACTATTGTTCGAACATCTCGAATGAAAGCCAGTCTCCAGATAAAATGCGGGATATCGATCGTGATCACGATCTTTGGTCGGTGTCGAAACACCCATTGCTGTGCCGCCAAGCCCGAGGCCCCCTTCGTCATAAATATCCTTCAGGGCTGCCTGTGCGGGTAAACGGTCGATTGTGTACTCCCTCGCGTGCTGACCTGATAGCAATTGGAGTACCGGGACATGATTCCCACTTAATACGCCACTGGTAGCACGGTAAATCGTTGTCATTAGGATTTGTCGCCTCTCAAGTCCTTAATATTGGTAGCGCAGTTGTGGAGCACCGTTGAACGGTGAGTCCTGCGACTATGCATTCAGTCGGCTGGCTTACCACTACTCGAAACCCGAAGCATCCTTGAGATAGGACGCTGAGAGCGTGACAAAGACGGGTATATAAGACCTACTGGTGGGTCGTGGAAGACATACAACTTCTAGATTCGTTTCTCATTTCTTCGCTTCCTTTAATTTTTGTTTCTCTTGCTTTTACGGCTCACGACTGCAACGATGAAGTTCCAATTCTCATTCGCGTCCTTCGTCATTCTCTCTTCTTCTACCTCTGTTCTTTCAAGCATTGTCTTGAGAGACTACACCAGTCCTCATGACTTGGTCGACTGGGAGCAGCATCAGTTCCAAGCTGCCACCGAGACCGATTCACGAGGACCGTGTCCTGGTTTGAATACGTGAGCATCTTGTTTCTAGCCTTCAACTTGTCGGCCACAGGACTGAACGAACCGCCCAATCAGTTTGGCGAACCATGGTTTCCTCCCCCGTGATGGCAAAAATATCACCATTCCAATGGTTCTCAAGGCAGGACGAGGTAGGCGTATTTTCTCCCAACTCGCTCGTCTTCACCTTTCCTGATGGCTCCTCTCAGAGGGCTTCAACGTCCACCGTGACCTTTTGATTACCGCTGCCAAAGCAGCGATTATGGCTTCACCCCTTGACGACCAGTTTGCTTTGGCCGACATTGGCCTGTATGTATCTCAACAAGTTTCTTTCTCTGGTCCTTAGACACGCTGACCGCGTCTTTCGCAGGCACGGCAATATCGAGCACGACGCTTCCGTCTCCCGTGTCGACAGGGAGCTCGGCGACCACCTTCCCTTCGACGAGGAAGTCTTCTCCGTCCTCGCCAATTCCAACCCCGGCGTCGACTACTACAACACTACCTCCGCCGGTATCGTCCAGAAGATCCGGCTCGAGCAATCCCAAGCCGAAAACCCCAAACTCGTCAACACCGTCAAAGAATTCCAAATCAGGACCAGGGAGTCCGCACTCTACCTGGCTGTTATGGGCAACGCCACGACGGGTGTTGCGCCAAAGACGTTTGTGAACGTTTTCTTCAGGGAGGAGAGACTGCCTATTGCTGAAGGGTGGCGTATCCCCGAGTTGCAGATTGACCCCAAGACCGACCAGCCTTTGTTCCAGGCGATCACCAAGGCTTCGGAGTGGCAAGCTAACCCGGAGCAATGCCCATGGGTCGTTCTGGGTCCCGGCGCACCGGAGGATCCTATCAACGACGGAAGCATTCTCTAAAGCCTTGTCGTGCCGTTGGCTCGATCATCGAACTGGTTTTCACTTGCTCGCCTGACTTTGGCAAAACGCACATACACTCACTACCTATTTGGATAATTCGCCTACTACTTATGGACCTTACTATTTGCTTCACGCTGAGTAGTAGTCACATTTTACGTTTATTTATCAATCTGATGCCTCCTTGAGGCTTGAGATTCAACCTGTGCCAGTGAGGGTCAACACCACTTGTGAGCTGACCGACAAGTTGATTCTGCGACTTGAAGCGTCTCGAAATCTTTTCTTCGGGGTTCTATCATGAGCCGTTGGTTGTCCTGCCCCCTGGGATTTGAAACCGTCAGGTATCAGCCTGGTGATTTGATGCCTTCGCTCTATAGGTAGCGTATGGCGAGCTACCCTTCACAGCGAGACACAAAGTTGACATATCCTAGATTCATCAAAGGATCGGGAATCGGGTCAGCATGTTCGGTTCCAGAACGTCGTGTCACTTGAACCAGAGCTCACGACGAGCTCATGAAGAACGATCCTGTTATACAAAACCGTTGACCTATCGGTTTAGTGTACCCCGAGAATACATGAAGCGATCGCCGCTGTCACTGCGCCTCAGAGCTGACCAATTTCAACGAAAAAAGGACCCCGATTGCGAAAAATTCAGATTCGCCACCTCTCCGTACGACAGGCGATCCCTCTACTAGAAAAAAGCAAACGAAATCCACGTATTAACCCACAGTATACGCGTAAGTACCAAAGACAACAAAAAAGATATACACCCTTTTAAAACACTAAGCCAGTAGAAACACCTCGACGATAGTGTAAGATGTCAGCCACTCTAATGTGGCTTAGATACTCTGATGAGCCCATCACATAGCCCTGACGCTGTAGCCCTGCTATAAAACGGAGTGTGTATGTTAGAAACGGTATCCAAGAGCGCCCAAGACTACGGGCTGCAACTCACCTGGTCAGCTTCAGAGAAAGCAAAGCTCGTGGTAGCTGTATAAGTTCAGGAGGGATAAGGGTCAGTATGGAATCGTCGCGCGAGAGCTATCCATTCGCTACTTACGTGCCAAGGCGGAGAGGTTAGCCGACCAGATCGGTTCGATGGATGCGAGATCGCCAGCCATAAAGTCGCTTTCTGTTCCGTGTGAAAGACATCAGTTACTTGCAAGCGTCGGGGGAGAGGGGAAAAAACTCACGCTTGTAGTCGAGGTTCACAAACATCTTCAAGTTGGGTTGGAAGTTGGCTTCAGCGGTCAGGCCGCCCCTTCAAACATGATTGAGATGTTAGTATGGGGCCACATATTGAGCTTTCAGAACGCTCGCGCCGTTACTCACCCAACCTTCCACATAAAAGTAGGAAGCAGGATGCTGAAACCGCCCCCGATATCTTTCACAGTGCCTGGCAGCGAAGAGTGAGTACGAAGTATGATCGGGCATGACCGCCCCGAACGAGGGAAGTTGTTCTTACCGACTGTGATGTTCTGAGCATATCCCGTCTTGTTGGTGGCGCGGATGATTGCTCCGTTCCCCCCGCTCCCACTGGGCGGCCCCCAGGTGGGATTGGATCCGTTGAGAAAAAGCTCGGTGGTCTCGCCGAGCTGTCGGTGGGAGAGAGAAGGCACGGGTTAGTCAATCGGAGAGCAGGAGGAATTTTTTGATTCGGACCTTCATCTCGATCAAGGAGTTCGGGATGACGCTGTTTCCATTGGACTTGAAATCAACGTCAGCACTATCATCGTGGGTGAGAGCCAGGAAAGTTACAACTCACGAGTTGCGCAACACCGAAGCCAAGCCTGGAATCGAAGTCAACGCTGAACGCATTCATCGCGTTGGAGCCTGGATTCGATTTGAGGTTGGCCACTCTCCTGCGAGAAAACATGATCAACTTCGCCGTCTGAGTGGTTGAGGACAACTCGGACACCATACCAAGCAACATGGTTCTGTTCACCACTGAGCTCCCCTCCAGTAGGCGGGTCGAAGACCAAGGTGACAGTCACGTCCTTGGTGAGCTGACCGGGTTTGTAGTTGAAGATCAGGGTGCGTTCCATCGTTTGAGAGTGTGTGTTGTGCGGGTTTGCAACTATGTGGAGGTTGTGTTGTTATCTGAACAGATCAGAAACGGTGCTTCTTATACAAATCAGGCCGGCCAATATTTGGTGGTAATGGTCCTGATAGAGGAATTGGATCGGGAAGTGTGTTAGCACTAGCTTCGACGTTGACAAACGAAATGCAGCGGAGGTCATTTCCTTCCGAACGTACCCCTTTGCTTTGAGGCGGTGCCGAAAAGTGGCCGCTGCGTTTTCGAGTTGTTGTCGATGAATTCCAGACGTTGTAGCGTGTATCGAGATTAAGCCTTTCCAGCTGTAATAGTCGACCGGTCGTACTTGAAAAGTGTCGGTGAATGGTACACATCAGCAACAGGAGACGCGACTGCCTAGTTTTCCCACATGTTGGAGTACCTGATCTTGCATAGGGGTACACACTTATGCTCACAATATCCCGGCACCCGCAAACCAACGTCCTCCGCAGGCTATCTGTTACACTGACTGTTATTGCTAGGAACACCTGCATTTTTGTTTCTCGCGTACCTTGTTGGGCTGTCCTAATCGATATATTCCCCGCTGGCGCGCAAGTCTCTCCTCTCCATCACGAACAGGCTGCAGGCAGGAGAAACTCTTCGGTGGCGAATTGAAAGCTGGATGTTACCTATCGGGCGAAGTCCATGTCCGAGCGTAGTGTGAACACCTTTGAGGAATTTGGTATGTATCTTCAGGCCCGCCCTTCATACACCGTACGTGCGATGTCAATTACAAAGTCCGCTAGACAGTGTCAGAAAGAATGATGAGGTTTATCGTCATCTTACTAGGGAACGAAACTGCTCACTTGGGTACAAGGCAATACTCTCACTTGGGCCTAAGGTCTATGGAGGACCTTCCAAGTCGTCCACAGCAGAATACACACGCTAGTTCGAATTGAACTGCCGGCTTTGGAATCGATGATGGTGGTCAGCAAGCAAGTCGATCGAACTCCAGGTGCGTGGCGTCACGGACTTCGGACTGGTAGGTGCGGATCGGAGCTTCAAAATCGACAGTGGCATTACGGCACAGCGAGGTCTGCTCGCCGAATCTTGGAAAAAGCCAGCTTGTGCGTAGAGAATCGAACAGAGTTGTGCTGCAGAGAAGCATCTCGAAAATGTGGCACTAGTGCTCTGGCT